TTCGAGATTCTCGCCCTCTTTTACTTGCATAGTGTATTCTTGTGCTTGCGTGATCACCGACGCATAGCGGTGTCTGGTAGACATCGCTATGCGTGCCATGCAGACATTGTGGACGATATACTCGAAGTCGTGATCGGGTCGTCGATTGATACTATAGGTTGTCGATGCTAGTGACTCTGGCAACACAATCTCAAGGGTAGATACGGGTATAAGATAATACTTAGCTGCGGTCTGCAAATACAGGCCCGATCGCAGCTTCCCACCCAAAAACTCGTTAACTCAACTCGTCCCGCCCTGCCGACTTCATCTGTGGCCATCGGACGGCCATCCTCACACAGTTGAGGATCGCACGTCAAGATGCAGACAACCAGAAACTACCGGGTGGCAGAGGGTGGGCAAAAAAGGGCCGGCACGCTCACCAGCAACTGATAGATGATAAAGTAAGGTATCAATAATCCTCACACTAACACTTAGGACCGGCAGCAACAACATCGCACGAAATACACAGGTTCAGAGTAACTGGCTTCGCGGGCGAGCGCGTCACGGTCCTGTTTTTGCACCACTCTACACTCCACAAGCTTCGTGTAGGGTAACATGCAAATACAGGCCCGATCGCAGCTTCCCACCCAAAAACTCGTTAACTCAACTCGTCCCGCCCTGCCGACTTCATCTGTGGCCATCGGACGGCCATCCTCACACAGTTGAGGATCGCACGTCAAGATGCAGACAACCAGAAACTACCCAAACCCCACAGAGGATCGGCATAGGAGAGGGACTAGCCATACCAATAAACGTTAGCGCTGCCTCTAACTGAGTGACCAGGTCTCGCAAGGATCGGTTGCCGCCAGCTGTTCGGACCTCCAGGCTGGAGGCTCCAGCACATAGCCGATGACGTGCTTCCGTCATGGTCGTCGTCGCCGGCGTCACCAGTGCCACATATACTCATAGTAGTTCGGAACTCACTGACTCGCCCATGTTGGGTATAACGTAGTCATCGGGAAATCCGTCACCACACAGATCCAAATAGTCACCGTAGTGTTGCCGCTGCAGCCCGTCGTGTAGCGATTCGGTCATTCCCACATACTGCGGGCCCCTGCTTGCAGCGGCTATGGCGCGACTCGCATAGGTACCCATAGGTCTGAATCATAGCTTCTTGGGTGTACCGGTCGATCGCTGCGGATCGACATCTGCCAGAAATACTTGTAGTTGTCTGTAACACCAACGCCTTGCAGACCAGATCGGAGGACTTCAGAAAGTGATCTCTGCTTCATAGCTTCTCACCGTGAGAATCTCATGTGAACAACCAAGGAGAGTTGTCGCCTCCTTCATACCCAACCTGAGGTTGGCAACCTCCTGCCTTCGTCGAAGGATCGGGAATGTAGTAACACTACAGTAGTATGCATCGGACATAAGTTCGCGCCGATAGTCCCCACCACATGAGCAATCGTGACTCCTGTAGACTGCGTTGCCTTGCTGATCCGTCTTGCTCTGGGGGATAAGCACAATAACCCCAACCACTGGCCTCATCTGTGTTGGTATCGTTGATCTCCACCTATACCAGCTCATTCATACGTAACATGAACCAAGCACTCATCGTGTATGCAGCTGCGCGAATCTCGCCCAAGAAACCGTTGGCACTACGCCTTATAGCAGCGAGCTGTGCTGCGGTGACTCACCGCCGGTGAGGGACCAGAGATGTCTCGCCGGCCAGCCAGTGTTTGAGATTAGCCTAGACCTTATAGCCACTCAATAGTGGGGTTCTTCAGACAATAGCCCAAACCGCCGAGCCTCAGAGAGGGACGGCCCCGCCGACGCAGTCGACGGCAAATATGCTCCACCGTTAGGCCCTCTCATCGCAGGCACTCGGCTCAGAGCTTGGTCCGATCATCGGACTCCGATGTGTAAAGACCAACACCATACTGAAACCACTGTACACTTTCTACACCTATCTCAGAGCTTGATCCGATGAATAGAGATCAACACCATACTGAGACCACTGTACACTTTCTACAGCTATCTTGGAGCTTGGTCCGATGAATAGAGACCAACACCATGCTGGGACCACTGTACACTTTCTACAGCTATCTCAGAGCTTGGTCCGATGAATAGAGACCAACACCATATTGAGACCACTGTACACTTTCTACAGCTATCTCAGTCCTTGGTCCCACGAGTAGGGACGTTACCACACTGAGACCACTGGAAGCTCTCTACAGCTATCTCAGACCTCGCTGCGACGGATTGGCGAATCGCCAAAGTGCGTCGTCGAGCTTGGGGCAGATATCGCGAGGGACACCATCCAGCTCGCGGAGATCAGCTAGCTTCGAATCGCCCTCGAATTGACTACTGAGGACGTCAGCCAGCAAGTTCAGCCGTGACGGCACATGCTCATAGAGTAAACACAATACTCTGACATCGATGGCTGCGTCCAGCGCAAGTTCACGAACAACCATATTTATTGCTGGGGACCGCGACCTTAACCTGAGAGCGGCTCCCAGAGCCGCCCGGGAGTCGCTCCGGCAGATGAGACCCACCGTTGATGGAAGGCGATCCTTCCGCAACCGTACGCTTATCAGAATTGCCAAAGCCTTCCAGAGAGCTTGGAACTTGGAGTTGCCTTTTGACGCATCGAGCTTCCGGAGATCGTCGTCCGAGATTTGTTCACTAAACCAGCGGGCCACTTTGCCGTCACGTACCAGAACGCCACCATACCCGGATGCACTTGCCAGTGGCAAGTTGCCACATACTTTACGGAGTAGCGGACAGGAGGCCCGTGAGCCACATGAGAGGGCTTCCTGGACCAGAGGAATAGCGTCGGCCAGCTTACTTCCTGGAACCGCGACCGATACACCAAATGGATGGAGTTCGAAGTCGAAGCCTACCCACCGCAACCACTGGCCAAGTTGGCCTTTGTGATATGCAAAGGAAGTACCAAGAGCCAACTAGAAGACTAGTGCCACCAATAACAGCACCAATACCATAATACCGATAGCATACCAATAATACCAATAATACCAATAATACCAATAATGCCAATAACGGCTCCAATCATTGGAGTCCAATGCATCGGGAAAGTATGGCAGGAGCGCTGTATAGTACAAGATTTTACCTCATGACTGGCCAGAGATCTCTCTTTCAGAATCAGCATGCCAAAAAAAACACGGAAAGAGTCTCGCCATATCTCATACGATGGCAATCCAGGCTGTGATATCTTCCGAACTCTCCCTCAGCGTTCATGACCCAGGCAGATTGACGGACTTCGCGTGAACGGCACCTCTGGTTCATCTGCCATACCTTAAAATCGCAGTACCGAACGTCGTTTTTTTAGCAAGCGGGGCAGCAAGGCCGAAAACTGTTCTCGAGTAGGGAGCCAGTCTACGCTGATATCACCATAGACCTTGATGAGCTCCGAGACTCTCTCGGAATAGGTTGCTGGAGAAAGTAGATCGAAGAATCCTCATCGGCCTCGTCCAGGAATGTGGAGAGACGCAATCGTTTCGCTGCCGCAGCTGCGCCCTCAGAGTTTGCATTCGAGCTCGGAGAGGAAGTAGATGAGGTCTTCATGACAGGAGCTAGGCCGCCATGATCCCTGCACTGATCGAACAAGAGTCCTACACGTGCCTTAGCTACAGCTCTCAGATCGGAGGCCTTGAAGAAGACCGCAACGTCACGAGGATTGAGGAAACCGAAGTGGCTTATCAAGGTGGTGCCGTTGTCCTCGCCAGAGAGCTTGGAGCATACAGTCTTTCAGGAAGCTACATCCATCCTGGCTTGTTCCGGGAGAGGTACGATGGGAACTGCCGCCTCCACCAGGCAGGCCGGGATGGACGTCATGGGATCAAAAAAAAGGGCCAGCACGCTCACCAGCAACTGATAGATGATAAAGTAAGGTATCAATAATCCTCACACTAACACTTAGGACCAGCAGCAACAACATCGCACGAAATACACAGGTTCAGAGTAACTAGCTTCGCGGGCGAGCGCGTCACGGTCCTGTTTTTGCACCATTCTACACTCCACAAGCTTCGTGTGGGGTAACAGACAAGGTTGGCAGGAGTGCCAACAGTAATCCTCAAAAGAATCCCTCTAAAGACTCTGAATTCAATCGATCGTTTGACGCATGCACACGTTAGCTACGGATAAGGCTCTCGCGCTCGCCTTATACTGTCTATTCCGCACAGGCAGGGCCGCACAGGCGGACGACAACAAAAAGGTAGCTGACAATGGCCGAACGGAGTCGATTTACATATAGTGAGCAATCGATACAGTGCAGCTAACAGACTGGGCAACAGGAGTGGGCAGATCCTCCTACCACAATATTGTCTGCATGTCACCGTGACATTGTCACGCCATATCACGCCATATCACGCAGATTCGCTATGCGCATGCACGCAGGCAGCGATGAACACGATTAGAGTCTCGCGACGGTCAATAGGCTCGTCATACTTACTGCTTGTCGAGAGGTGAGGCGTAATGATTTCGCTATCCATCCCATCGTTACATGCCCGTCTTCCCTACTGCCAACTCCGTGCACACGACCGTGACATTGTTCTGAATCAGGACTTCTGTTCAGCGGCTTAGTTGTGTCACATCTCAAGGTCACAGACCTAAGTGTCGGGTATCACTGTTCAAGGGCGATCACTCACGAGGGCAGAACTATCCGTGATGAACGTGTTCACTACCAGCCTCTCAAATTCCCCCTGTTGTAAAACTGTCTTAAGTCCGATCTGAGGGCTATCCGAGTGGATGGTGAATGTCACCCCGCACCAACTCGAATATCTTTCCCGCACAATCCGCGTTGTCAGAGTCGGACAGTACGACTTTACCTCGACATGGTCAGTACATGACGAGGAGATGGATCCATGGTCAGTACATGACGAGGAGATGGATTCATGAATAACTAATACTTCTATATTCCATTTGTGGTTTGTTGTAGTGGTTCTAGTCATAAATCATCGAGCCCGTTATCATTTGCGTCTCATCAATAATATTGATTCAATATGATTATCGCTCTGGTTTCCGCGTTCGCTTGCATAGTGGCAATCACTGATGCCGGCGGCCTTGGGAACGAAGGTACCGCGTTTGAGCTCAGGCCGTTACCGTCCATCGATTTTCTTCAGATGTGGCGCCCGCGTTTCACCATCTCCGTTCTCTGAACGGCGGCGGGGTCTTGTGCCCAGGCAGCAAGGGTAAACAGGCCTTCGGATACACATCAGTTCTCGGGCTTAACAAGTGAGTATATCCAGCGTGCGGAGGGTAAATTATAGTCTTGCTGCTCCTAGGTACTTCTACGCGGTTATGGAAGCCGAAGACGTAGATCCAACATCGGCACCGACCTTCTTGTACATAGCTGGTGGGCCGGGCAGCAGTAGCTTGGGGGCGGCCATGACTACCAATGGGCCATGCAGGATGTCTCCTGACGGGGAAAAGCTCCTAAATAATACGTGCGAATGTCCTTGTGCGGTGTCTTGCAATGTGACCGTTCGGAGCTAGATACTCGTGGACTAAGCAAGCAAACAGCATTTGGATCGATGCGCCTGGACCCACCGGGTTTAGCATGGGTCCGGTAGAGACCAGCTTGGAGGAGTTCATCAACAACATGTGAGCATTCTTCAGATCAGAGAATACATACATCACAATAGTCCTTCACAGGGTCATCTTGAGCGGCCAGTTATTCAAGAGGTACCCCCACTTGAACAGGAATGTACACCTCGTCGGGACCTCAGCATCTGGTATGCATGCCGAGCTAATATTGCGCGCGATACCATGTTGCAGCTCTCTTCGTTGCTATGTTGGGAGAAGGCATCCTGAGAAAACCTCAGATCAAGATCGATTTGAGAGGAGTGATGATGTTATCTGGCATGGTTGGACCGTACGAGATGTGAGCAATCCATTCATTCCGAGTTGACAGTGTTGACTGGCTCATTTTGCCAGATTTCACGGAGCTTACGAGACGGCCAGGGATAAGAAACTTCTACCTCAGAAGGAGTCCTAGTTTTACGTTGTCCGTTGGTCATTTAATTTTCTCAGGCTCGAACTAATGAAGATGAGCCTGAAGATGTGTGAAAAAGCTGTCGACAAGTGCAATTCTAATGGACCTGGAAAGCCTGCTAAGCCTGGTGGGCAACGTCTATCTCTAACCTGAGCACTTTCGACAATCATGTTCTGTTTCTTGTAGCTAATTGCCAAGATGCTCTTGGAACTTGTGACGCAATCACGATGGACCCTATGCACCGACTAGGCAAGAGCATGTAAGTGGGCGGGTCGGAATTGAAGTGTTGACCTTTGCTGTCTTGAGTTGCGACCCATGATACGAGCAACCACTCGAAGCCCTCTGTCAGAGGAAGTGAACTGATCATTTTGGCGATCAGACTCCCTGAAATCAACTGTGGTTCCTCTATGCCGTCCAGAATATTCCTGTCACTCAAGCCAGTATTTCCTTCCCAGATACGATGTGCGCGCACGAAGAGATAAACAGTCCGATTTCTTCGCATTCAAACCGGGAAATGTAGTCGTCATTGCAGGTCTCAGTTTCAAAAGTTATCACCCACTCAGGCGGCCGGTTTTCTCAATAAGCCAAGTGTTAAACAAGCTCTCGGCGTTTCTAAAACTTGGGAGCGAACAAACTATCGGGTTGCCATCCTTCCAATTTTGGGTTCCATGTGAACATGATAATTTCATACCAGGTCCAAGCAGTCTTCAGTAAGTACTTCGCCTATGATGGAAGTTTTTTCGTCACACGACTCCTCGACCACGGATTAAAAGTGGGTATTATCTGAGATCATCATCTCTGGAATACACCGTGACTATGGAGCAACGAGCTCGTGGGCGGAATGCGCGCCGCGAGAGGCTGCTCGTCGCGACAGAATCGTGATCTCTCAAATTTTTATTATAAGAATTTTATAAGACCAACGGGATTCGAATGGTAAATTCGATGATGTAGTTAATATTGGACGGCAACGTTTGACCAAATCCACTGATTTTGATATAGAACAATATGTAGAACCGTACAATGTACGGCATATCGATGCTACAGGTACTTGTGGGCAATGGCAATGAGGATTATATCACGAATGCGGTGGGTACAACGGAGTGGCTGTTCAACTTGAAAGGGAATGAGGGGTACGGCGAAGCACTCAGACATTCGAATCCCCAAGATATCAAGGTAAGTTTCCTTATTCCAGTGCCATCTCCTAGCACAACCTCGGTGGCGGAGACTCTGTTAAACAGAGTCTGTTTCAGTTTCCTGGAATTGGCGTCGTAGGAACTTCGCGTACTTCTCAGTACCCTAATGGAGCGAGGCTCGCATTCGTCGAGGTAGAAAGCACATTACAATAGCGAACATTGAGGGTGTCTTTCAGATGAAGGACGCAGGCCATGCACTCATGTTCTATAAACCCGTAGGCATGCAGCAGGTATTCCAATCTTTCCTCACCGGTAACCTTTGGTGAGACGGGAGCAATCACCAGTAGAACGCCGGCCTGAACAGCTTGCATTGTTCAGCAGTTATCGGTCAATATAACGAACATCCTCATTTTGCTCTCACTCGATATTCCCGCTTTTTGGCCTATCATGCATTTGATCCCAGAGGTTTAGGCGCCAAGTTATTTTCTCGACATTTCCTATTTCGCCCTCATTGAGAGTTTGCTCTCAGGGACTCAGGCTATGACGCAAATAGCTCCTGTGTTATAGTCAATTTGGGATTACTATATGGAGAAACGGATGGCCTTGAATCGTATGGGGAGTTCCCGGGAGGAACACTGAGAATTTTGGACCAAGTGAGCCAAACCAACCACATTGAGTTAACAATGGCCCAGGTAGAATCCAGATAATCAATGCAGGGATGCTACTCGCTCTAAAAAATACTCACGGACAAACTAACGTCACAGCCTGAAGGTATTGCAAGCTATGCGCCACAGCCACAATAGGGACAGATTAGCGACGGTCTGACACAGAAGAAACATGGAGAGCAATGGCCCACGAGTCACATCACAGCACTTGCGAGGCAGCCACGGTCATCAAAGCCGACCAACCAAGATAATGCAATAATACAACGAAGGAAATATGTCTCTTGGATATATAGTTGTGAACTGTATTGCCGTAAGCAGACAACTTGTCTGAGACACCTGTACCAGTCATCAAAATTTCAGCAGTCCGCACGGACCGTTCGGCACAGTGATGCGCATGATACCTTAACCTAGATCTGCACGAGGGCCATTTTCAGTTGAAACTTGATGAGTTCAAGCTGAACTGTTCAGCTCAGTTGTCCATGAAAACGGTGAATCCTGAAAATGGTAAATCGGAGGAAATCCCGCGCACCCTCATAATGGTGAAGATACAAGCGTGCGCCGCAGGCGGACGGTTACTAAAGTATCGCCTGGGTCCTTTTGCGACGTATAGGATGCATCGAGCGGTTGGTCCAGCGATTAGGCTCCAGTGCTGCAAACCGATTAAAAATAAAGACTGCCTCATAAATACGTTTGCTAGGCTCATGAATACTCTAGACTCTAGAGTATAGGAGAATGTCTCATAGGCGTGGTTGGGATGTACGGGCTTACCTGAGGGCCCGCAGGAAATTTTCGCTGATTTTCGAAAATTTGTTATAGGTGTGACAACTTGAAAGTTGTCATGAAAGTATGAAAACGGAAATCGGTGAAAATCGTAAAAACCGAAAATCCTGGAGACGATCATCCCCACTTTCAAGACGAGGCGTTAAGAATGAGAGAAAATACACGAGGAAGCCAGGCAAATTGTTGTTCACTCTAGCTTACCTAGCATCATGGCGATTGAATGTATGAGCCTGTTGGCTTTGGGGATTGCTGTGAGCCGCCCATAGCATGACGTTGTTGAGGCTTCGAATTTTCTCAGGCGAGATGGTTGACCTAGATGGTCGACAAGGGCGATTAAGAGTGCGTCTCGTGTCGGCTCGCTTGCGTATCCTTTCACGAGGTCAGCAGCAACCAAACTAACTCAATTCAGTTACGCCGTGAAACAAAATTCGGGAGTTGATGATCGTGTCAGGGAAACCACGCCAGAAATGAAACCGGCTTCTTTATGATCAGTCCTGATTGCGGATGGATATCGACTCTCAGTTAATGAACGAGTCAGAAGTTCTACCGTCGGCTGACCCAAAAAGCTTGAAGATCGTGACACCGGCGAGCTGTTCACCATTTTCATTCGGTAGTCGCAGTGATATGAGTACCGTTGACCGATATTATGAACCTGTCATGGTCGCGGTCGTAGGGGATCCTCTCCCATTCAACCGCACTCAGGTGCGACTCTTCTGCGAAATCGGTGAAATTCTTGTTCTTGGTATCCAGTAACAGCGTCGTATGCTCAGAGTCAACCGTGAACGGGATGAGACCAGTCATGTTACCAGTCAACCATGGCCTCGTAATGACCCAGAAAATTCGGAGAGTCTTCGGGGCCCATACATTGAACGCCAGAATTGCAGCGAATGGATTGGTACTCGTAGTGCAGTACGAATGGTGTGGTGGAAATCCCTGGGCCATCGACAGGAATCCCAGGACGATGATGATGATGGAATGGATGGGGGACATTTGAACGGTAATAACTGATCGAGTGGCTCTCAAGAATCAGAGCGGGGATGATCTATCCGAGCGCTTCACACCCGTTAACGTCGATCTGTTCACCTACATACGCTACTCCTTGCAATATGGATGCTGGTCACACAGCTGCACGTCCATGAGACGTGAAGTTCAAAGCTAGTTAACGCGCAATCAGGCGGCGATATCTATGTCTAGCAGCTAGTCTAGCTGCTAGACATGGATATCGCTGCTAGACTCTAGCTGAATCATCTCTCCTACGGCTCTGTTCGTGATGGATCGCGTAACCAAAACGCGGTAGGTTGCCTCGCATGTCATTTGAACATGTTGGCCCAACATTAGTGGCGTCTTCTACAACTCGGAATGTTGAAGCCAGAGGTTCCGGCTTGTGCGTCCGCTCGCCTTGATCGCGTGCATTCCTCGTCACGCTTCACAGAACTGTACCATGTAACACGGTACAATATCGAACCGGCGAAGATTCGGTCAAGTTGTTAGTCATTATACATGACTCCGAGTACACTTGCTCTTCCTGGCATTCTATCTCTTCTGATCGCGTTCCATTAAGTTCAATGGCATGAACAAGAGGTGTTGAGAAGGTCAATCCGCGTGAACCAGCCGGGAGGGGATGATCAATGAGGACAGCGTCTATCTCATCTCAATCCCAACTTCGACGCTCCAATCCGCCTATAGTCGACACTGAGTCAATTCAAATGCCCTCCGTGTAGAGAGTTCTATATGAAAAGGTAAAGCCAGGCGACTGCAAGGATCTAATCTATGGTTGCAATCACTGTTTTAAAAACAGGGTTTTTCCGAGCCACGTGAGCCCGGCCTCCTCTGGACGTTCAAGCTCTATGATGGGAGAGAAGTATCCGGGTTCAATTACTCCGCTTGGCAAGCACTTGGTTCCACACAAGAGGATGTGTGATTGATTAGGTTCGGCCTGATGACAACCCCTGAGAAGACTACTTCCCCCTGATGACAACCAGCTCCTGAAAGCTGAGAAGAGCACGCGTCCCCTCAAGCCCCGAAGGGCATCATCACCAAGAGATCATAAATTATGATTCGTAATGATCTGATCATTCTCGATATATCTAGATGCATTCATCTATCCCTGCCTCGGCACAGAGATGCGCCACTTGTACTGTTGTTGGGTCTGATCTTGTATTGTGCACACGATATCTCGTGAATAGTCGACACATCTATCCATCTCTCTCTGTCCCCTTGTGCCAGTGTTACCAGCGCTGGCCCTGTTGATCGATATCCTAAGCTCTGCTTAGCTTCTATGTGATATAGTCTAGCGTTGCCTATGGCAACTTGCCATACTACTCGATAACTATCTAATCATTTCTCTATGACTGAGACAAGTGTTACTTCAAGTGGGGGTGAGGGAGGCAAGACGGACAAAGACCAGCAGCATGGTGCACCGCCCGGTATTCTTGTCTCTCAAACCTCTTCTGCCCTCTTCTCTGCTGCGTTGCGTGATGCAGCCCGTTCTACTCTTGGTAATGAAGGTGAGACACCTTCATTATCCCTGGCTGAGCTAGTTGCTCTATCTCCTGTGAAAGTTTGTGAAGAACTTTTAGGTTTCTCCATTCATTCTCCTGCCTTAGAAAATCTTTTTTTCATTGGCACTAATGGATCGAAGCTTGGTGTCAGCCTTTCTGGCTTCAGCTCTGCATGGAATCTACCTCCTCATCATGAGGCCTATTATGATGCTACGTTGTGGAATGCCATTAAGCCTAAGACCGGAACTGTCAGTCCACGTTTCACGTATGAGCGCTTTACGCGAACATTGTCTCTATCTCTGTCGGAGTGTGTTGGAAACACTGCTCCGATTCGTCTATATGCTTACTGTGGTTTCCTGCCAAGACCTATTGCCGATACCATCAAGACTGCCCTTCTCTCCAAAGTTTCTCCCGATGGAACTGCAGTGGATGGTAACTCTGATGTTCTGGTGTGGCGTCAAATTCAGAAGATCACCTTTAAGCCCAAAGATGAGATTCCAGCAGATGAACTCCGCGTCCTTTACCAACGTTATGTTGATAGTTGCCAAGGTATCCTCAACAAGGCTGATGCTCAACTCAAGGAAGTCCAAGAACTCGAGTTGCCTAATCTTAGGCATCCTCTTAACCTTCTGAAGCAATGGCATCTCTACCACAAGCTATCGAGCACGGAGATAGTCTGGTTCGTACGCTCGAGCGAGAGAGGCGCATCCAGTCTAGGTTGGCATCCCATCCATCTGGTGTGATCCTTACCTGGGCAACGAGGCGTCTTCTCTACGGTGCTCTCCTCCGTGCGACTCCTCTTTTTCATGATTCTGATATTGGTTTTGCTGAGTTTATTGATAAACTTGAGCACTCGGCACAGGGTGACCCTGATACCTTTCTTACTGCCTTATCGAAGCTGGCTAAACGTGGTGGTTACTCCTCAATTGACAAGTTTCTCAAGCTGAAGGGCCGTCAACAGCAGCGTACGGGAAGCAGCCATTGACAGATTCGCTGTCCACAACTCCCAAACGGTACCTGCGGGAAATAGTGCACAGTTCGTCCAGAAGCCGCGCATGCTTGAGGAGTCCCCCATTATGGAAGCGCCCGATGATGAGCCTTCAAGTGAAGGAGTTGGTCATGTAATGCGTTAACTGGGTTCATCAGGTCCATCGCGTCCTACTATTTGGGAAATTAAGTTCCCCAATGCTGACTTCTCGGACTCGCTCAATGATTGCGCTCCGTAATGTTGCTAGCCGTCGAGCGGTTATCGATTTCTTGTATGTTGTACCATTCAGGAGCTTGTTATAGTACTATTCCTATCCCTTTTTTGCTGCTTTCAAGGATGACCGGCAAGTTTATATCCCGTCTTGTGTCACACAAGTTGTGTGTAGTGCAGTTAATGACTAGTCGGAGGAGGCATGAGGGCTTCATGGTCGAGGCTTCAGTAAGAAGGGCGAAAGTCGATGGGCGGAGTAGTCGCATCGAACGGTTGTTGATGTAGACAGATGATCAGTCTAATGTGATCGCAGCGAACCGCTACCTCTCTCTGCACGAAGTGGATTGGAGTTCCCCATGTCAGCTCATCATCCGGCAGCCTTCTCAGAGCTATTGAACACCTCTGTTTCGGGTGAGTACTCACATCGCGCGTCGACAGTTGAAAAGTTTTCCCTAAGTCTCTTTGCGGGATAGCCGCTTTTTATCACCAGAATTATAGTCCGTAATGGATACGCCGACAAACATGTGGTTCTGTATCTGTGGTGAATCTGATCCAGCACAAATTAGAGTAGGGCAACCGAGGGGAGCTGAGGGCCGAGCCAATATCCTACTTGAATAATACGCCGTATCGGCCGGTGATGGGGTCTCGTCGTGCCCAGCCATCTTCTCGTTAGAGCACCTTTCCGCTGACGACAACTTCAGTCCCAGCTCATCTCGGCACCCCATCACTACTGACTCAACGCCCTTAGTTGTACCTCCGCCTAAGAGGAGGGTGGACTGCTCGCAGGATATCAGACGTCTTGGTAGGGCTCCCATTGGTACGCCTGCCAGACCTTCCTTGATAGGCGAATCGACCTACACTTATGCTGCATCGAATGGCCCGGAGTACAGGCGAATGTCTCGTAGGCGTGGTCGAGGCATACGAGCTTCCCTAAGGACTTTCTAGTAGGCACTAGCCGCGGTGGAGACCTTTCTGGGATGATGCATCGACATGAGGGTGCAGGTGAGACCGGGTATTGAGGCCTTATTCTGACCAATGAGAGAGGACTGCTCGCTGCTGCAACAGCGCTGCTGCAGCGCTGTCTCCGTTTACTGGGGTGATACCAAGACCTCTTTATCACCTGCAATTCATTATGGTCGTATGGCGGGCCGCCATTGGCGGCTCCGCATTGACTCTCGACGATAGCGCGTGCTCGACCGAGTCGGTGCCGTTGTTTGTCACACTTCCACATCATTGACTCACTTGCCTCCAAGCAGCTGTGGGTTAGGAACGAACTATCGTTGGCGAGTCTACACAAGTCACGGCAGCACATGATCTCATATGCTGTTTGAACTCTCGTCTCACATGACGTCTCGGGGTTTTTCGTAGTTTGAATAGAAGTTCTGCATAAGCTGAAAAATATGCGGGCCTACTCGTCCGGTCTCGCTAGGAATAACTTGTGGAACGTGCCTCACTAGGTGGAACGTGTCTTGGAATTTCTTACTCCCCTTGCATCTTGTTTTTTCTGTTTCAAGATGCTCGAGAGCTCATCAAATACGCCATAAAACTGTTTAGGGAAGAAACCATCAGCAAGACTCAGGTATTGCTGTAGTCCACGTGCTGGCCCCGTACTGTGTACCCAGGCTATGCTCGTCCAAGACTTTTGCCGAGACCCCACAAGGGCCTCTGAATGTGCTATCGTCAACGGAACCCTGGAAGAGCAGGATGAGGATGTGAGATCACGCTTCAGCTGGCCGTATCTCAGGTCTCTGCTTCGAGGAAACCGCTCCGTCTAGGATGTTTTCCTCCCTCAGGACCGAAAGCTCCACTTGCAGATGTGGGTGCACAATCTCGAGAAGGCCGAACACATGAGGACCCCGTCCTCCTTGCTTTCCTCAAAGGACTTCCAACATACCTCAACGCTTCTGAATGTGCATAATACGACCTCAGTATCGGGGTAACGGTGCTGGCCTTCGGGCGTTCCACTGTGTCGTAGGCAGAGTACTAGAGCACCATCACCATATCTGCCGAGCCCAGCAGCCAGCAGCCCTGCGAATTCAACGATATACAACCACATGGCGGCTGGAGCACTTCAACAACAGACTCTGAACTGGCATCAGCATTCTGGGTAAGTCACAACTTCTCTATGTGGACTGGTGGTTAGTGTTGTTTGTCATTCAGCAACCCGTCGGGAGTACCACAGCTCCTCTATGGCCCTCCAATGCATCATCAGCAGCTTTATCAAGTGAGTGGTCCAGCTCAGTGAATTCCTGGTCAGTGCTGCTCAGGTTGGTAACTGCGCCTCCCCAGGCCCAAGCAGTCCACAATTCATTTCCTACTGTCCACCTGGTCAGCATTCTGATGGTGGGAACTGAGTGATAGTGGCGGAGTGGAGCCCATTGCAGGTGGCGCGGGAGGATCATTATCATCCCCTAACCCAACGTCGTCCCATGGCCAGCCACAGGTGAGCGACAGTGGTTCAATAGAAGAACAACCTAAACAGCCTAGGGCCCGCCGGAGCTGCGGAGACCACAACCAAGCAGGTTGCAGCAGCGAGATATGGAGGAGGCAGAAGATGTGTAAGACGTTCATCCTGAGTCAGAATAATTCTGGCATTGGCTCAGCGTTGAGCCATTGGGAAGTCGCTTCAATAAAAGTTGCAGCGTTGTGTCTTCCTTCAGTCCTCTGGAGTTGATGCCAACAGGAACACCACCACTACCTAGCAGTCGTTCACCCAGTCCGACTCTGCCGTCCCCAGTACCAGAGATACCACATTTCCTATCGCACAGTGGACGGTCGGCGATGGAGATGGGGTTGCTTGCATCGTCACCGCCGTTCGCTTCACCTTCGGCACCAGCGGTATTCGCTGTGTCTGGCGTATCCTCGCCTAGTCACACCAGTACCCGACTCGACCGGTGAGCATATGGCCGGCAATCATGTTGGCTCTCAGTTCGAGGAGCAGCTAGCCATGATCGAGCCAATCTTTGAAGACATGTGAAAACGGTTGCTCGGACCAACTTGGTCACCGTGGTTTTGTGTTGAGTACTAACCTTACTAGGACTACGCAGCACCTCTGGTCTGAGACCAGCGGTCCCATCGTATCTCCAAGTTGGAGCAAAAGACAGAGGG